TTTTCTGCCTTAAAGCATGGACTAATTTTAATGATTTTTACTTTGTACATGTAGCTTGTTCAAGAGTTCCAATAAGCTACCTATTCTGAAATTTGCCAAGGATGATAAACTTTTAAATAGCAACATGAATGTATTTCCCATTCCCAAAGCAGTAGAAAACTTTATCCAGGCATAGATTCTATGACATTTCATTTTATAATTTGCTTGTGCATGATTAAGATCCTTCACAAGTGAAGTTTCTTCTTTCATAATTTTCAGTACATATTCCTCTCTTTTAGGGTAGTTTCTTTATTTGATTTCACTGATGGAATTTAGCACCTATCTACTCATTTGCAGAGAAAGCGGAAACTGCAGCAGTTGTTAAAAGCTCTTCCTGGTTATGGTTCAGAGTTATCTAACCAACAATGTTGGACAAAACTGAGCAGAGGGCAGGTCTCGCATGCATCTTCCGCTTCATGCTTCTTGAGTTCAGTTGAATCTGCTGAAAGTTTTGACCCAAAAGTTCTCTTGGAGTCAAATAGTTCAAACAGTTTATTGACCTTTGAGGATGATTTTCTGGAGAAGCAGATATATTCAGAATCTTCCTTAATGTGTGAACCTATAAACTGCAGTCCCTTTTGGAAGGATGTGTTTTCTTTAGTCGATTCTGATGAATCAGTGAATTGTTCAAACCCAGCAAGTCCTGCAAACCTGACATTCCTTGAAGTTCCTCCTCTGAATATGGATGACATTGGTCAGCGCTCAAAATTAGGCGCTTTTGATGATCGCAATCAAAAACATCTTCAGCCAACTTGGCGATCAATTAGGTTGTTGAACTTCATTGGCGACAATCTTCAAAAAATGGTTGTCCCTGTTGGGCCTCGATTCCAGGCTGAGGTTCCAAATTGGACTGGCCCTTGCTGTGATGAAGATTGTGATTCTGATAGCTCAAGGTGGTTGGGTACCCGAATTTGGCCAATTGAAGGCAGAGAAATGAAAATCACTACTCGAGTTGCTGGTAAAGGGAGACCTGAATCTTGCTCTTGTTTGTCCCCTGCTTCGGTCGAGTGTGTTCGACGCCATATTCTCGAGGAAAGGCTACTCCTGCTATGTGATGCTGGTCCTGCATTTTTCAGCTGGAAACTTGACGAGGCGGGGGAAGCAGTTTCAAAATCATGGACATCAGAGGAACAGCGTGATTTTGAATTACTTGCTAAAACAAAATTAAACTCAACTGGAAAGGACTTCTTGAAGCATGCTTTGAAGTGCTTTCCCTCGAAATCACGAAGAGCAATTATTAGTTATTATTTGAACGTTTTCATTCCTCGACGGATGAGCCTGCAGACGAGGTCGACTTTCAGCCAAGTCGACACTGATGAGGATGAGGTGGAAGACTCTAATTACCTGGGATTTCAGCGAAAATCTGAAGGCAACGCTCCTATCGGCGGTTGCAAAAACGTGAAAGCTCGATTCCTGCGTCACCCTTCGTAGCCACTCCACTTTTAGCCTTCTGAAGTTACTAAAGAGTGGACGTATGTGTATATTCATGGAGCAGTTGGCTGCGCAACAACCTGATGTTGCAACCCAACTTTTTGGGCTCCCTTTATATCCAGGCGATCAGTAGAATTTTCCATGGGTTTGACAGATATCAGCACCTAAACTCCCCAATTTAATTTCCATACATAGGCCAACTTGACTAGTTGCTAGTTTTGGCATAGAGTTGGCTTTTACATGAGGATCGATTGTCACGAGTGCAGTAGTAGTTGATCATATGATTCTTCCGCAGGAACGTCCTGCAGTTGCAAAGTTGAAAAAAGACTTGAAAGTCCTACTAGATTTGCTCCCATTATGTCCTTGAATCAAAGATGAGATCAACTAATTCCCTCGACTGTCAAAAGGAGGAGACAATGGATGAGTTTTTTAAAGTTTGTATAACTAACTAGGCCTTCAATGATCATAATAAATCATAACCGGGAGTTTAGATGGATAATGAGCCCCCGGAATCGGTAAAATGGCTATCGAGAGCCCCATGAAACCGAAACTGGAATCCTTACCATGACCTGTGAAACAGTACCGTCCAACTTTATTGCCGGCCGTAAAATAGCCCAAAGTTGAGAAAATAACCTCGATACTAAAGTTATTCATCTATAGGGGAAGAAAAAAAAATTTTGCTCATCAATCTTATCCACAATAAGCAAGACAGAAAGGAATCTAATGAGCACCTTTGCTCAATCTTTTCCTTTTCTCTATCCTGCTTGAAAGGTTTAGAGTTTTTACAAAACGAAAATTAGGCAAAATAGTCTGATAAACGGTATGAATATAACTCTATTTAAGCATTAGAAATCCTACATTCCTCGTTTTGTCACTGGTCTTGCGTGTTCCAACTTTTGTCAGAGCTCTAGTAATCAAGCGGGGCATCCAAAAGGATTTTAAAATTTTTATGTAAACTATTATTGATCGAGAGTACAAGCCCTGCACTTATGGTTAAAAACATACGTAGCGTGTGTTATTGCACTGTTTCTGATCAAGATTGACATTTCTTTCTGAGGAGTGAAATCCCCTTCCGCTTAGCTAGGAATGCACAAGCGTTGACGTTTGTAAATTCAAAAGAAAAGGGGAAAAAAGGGTCATCGACTTAACTCGGGAGGAGAAGTATTTTGATAAGAGGGGTAGAAGAGAGAGACCCAAAGGAAGAGAAAGGGTGGTCGGGGGTTGGGTTGGGGCTGTGGTTTGATTGATTAAAAGAAAAATGATAAAGATAAAAAGAACAGAACAGAAGAGTGTTTCGTTTAATGTTGTTGGTTTGGGGATGGGTTGAGGTTGTTTCCAAAGTTATTCATGGTACAAAATAAGAAGGAAAAAGAAAATGAAAATGGCTGTGAGCTATATATGATATGGTAGTGTAATTCACAAACGAGTGTGAGCCTGAGACGATCGCGAAATGCAGTGCTAGGAACAACAGGCATGGGTCATCCTGAATTTGCAATAATAGCAGCAGTTGAAAAGAAAAGATCTCTCGAACCAAGAAGAAGAAGCCAATAGGCCGGCCGAAGGAGAGTGTGTGAAATGTTGAGAACAGAACATTAAAATGGCGAATGATTTATTTATTTAGTTGCTGGCCCGCGTCCGGAAAAAATACGTTGCCATCAAATTCAATGCGGAAAGGACCTGAGAGTGAAAAAAAGAGAGCAGTAGCCACCAGACCGAAGAAGGCAGCAGCAGAAGGAGAGGAACTAGACATTCCATCGGATAACGAGCCTCTCTCTTTTTCTTTTTCTTATCTCGTTTCTTTTGCGACTTTTCTTTCTTTTCCTCCCATCTCTCTCCTCTTTTCCTTTTCTTTAGCAGACGTATGCCTTATGCAGCACCCCCCACCGCCATCACGGATCATGTTGGGATGTTTTCAATTGCCACTTTTTTTGACTTTTAATGGCGAGTTTACACTCTGATCGCGAGAGCTTTTCTCGACAGAAGAACATGATCATGATCTCAATCGTAAGACGATACTCTTTGCTCATTACTTTTGCTCCCTCTGATTTTGCGCTAAGCAGGAACAAAATTCTCGGTTGATTTTAGGCAAGTGATAATTGCTGGCTTTGATTTTTGTTCCTCCTTTTTTCATTGATCTGATTCTTATTTTTGACTAGCACCCCTTTTTTTTTTTTTTATCTTCTTTTAGGTCAAAAGCTTGTAGCTTTCCCTCACAATTGGTGGGATGGATGGACTCCACCGTCGTCTTTCTATTCCGGGAAAGGCCTATCAAAGACAACTTTTACCAGTACAAAACTATTACTTACTACTCTTTTTTTTTATTACATTTATTCTATCCTATTCAATACTATGGGAGGAGGGGCCAGAAAAAAATTGAGGGGCTGAACTACTTACCGGATCATACGAGTGTACAGTGCACTCGTCCGGTGGAAGTGACCTGCCACATTTAGTGGCAAATGGTACAGTACTATTACTCACAACTCGATTGTAGTACTTAAATGTAATGCAAGAACCAGCTAAAACCTTGCTCTGAGAGAGGGAGAAAATGGGCCATAAAAGTGTTACAGATGTACAAGGCATTTCCCGTTAATGTAGATGGAGAATGATAATACTCAAAACATCCCTCTTAGCTGCCTACTATTTTGATTAACATAACATTTTCATCTGAAAGGTGTTTGTGAAGCTAAAATATCGTCATGTATTCATGTCCCATTTTAGACACATCTTCACTTTTTGTTAACCTTTCTATGGGAGGAATTTTTATGCATGGGGTGTGTTACTAGGGGAGTGTTTGGATACAAATATTATTATTATTTGAGATGATATTTGTTTTTTTCAATATTTTTTTGATAATTTTAATCATCTTTTTAAGCTCAATTCACATGTATCACATCATAGAATATATATTATACAGTACTATAACAATTATTTTAAATAATACTCTATCCTATCTAAATCATAGAATATATATTATACAGTACTATAACAATTATTTCAAATAATACTCTATCCTATCTAAATAATGCTCGCATCTTTATAGCACTTTATGATCAACTTGCCTTCAAAGGATATCTTGATTAAAAATTAATAGTGAGGTATAATCTCAAAGGGAAGTGTGATATTCACACCCCTATTTCAACTTGCTCCACTCTAATCCATTCACTCCATGGCACGATAGCAAGGCGTGAGAAAAATTAGTTTAAGAGTACAAATATCACTTCCCATCTCAAGAATTATAAAGAGACTAGCACACCCTCGGCATATACATGAAACAAAAAAAAAAAAAAAAAAAATTTCCAGGAAACAGTTGCTCATGCAGGAAGTGGAATTACAGTCCTGGAATAGTAGCATCCCCTCATCACAATAGAGCCATAAAGCATAAACAAATTTACAGCTTTGCTTTTCTGAAATTTTCACCAAACATGGAAACGAGTTTTTATGCATAGCATCAAAAGTCCTTTACCGTATAACTCTCCAACTCCAAAATTCTCGTATAGAACTCCTCCAACTATTAGTGCAATTAAGGAATGCCTTTGCTAAAGAGATCAAAGTAAGCAGAGAATATGCAACATTAAGGTGGGTGGATATTTACATCCTAAAGAACCCAAAAAAAAACAAAAAAAAAAAAAAGAAAGAGGAATCAGCGCTAAAATACTTGTATATCACATTTTTCAACAAATCCTCCAATATATCCCCTCATCAACTTGTAATTGCAACTAAAACGCATATACCCCGCCCAACCCCAAAAACAATTAAACAAACATGTCAAAGGATAACAGAAATCAAGCGAAGAAGAGATGCCTTGTGGACCCCCTCTCCCTCTGATCCGCCTACATGCCTGATTCAACTAAGTAGTCTCTTTTCAACCAGTTTTGCCTTCCGAGTTCCTCATATGCTCTGTTCCTCATAGCTATTCACCACCTTCATTCACCTTGACACCCTCTTACCACAGATACAGGGAAGACTGGAGTGACGATCTTCAGCCTTTAAGCATGCCCAACTTCATGTCCGCCCGCAACTTTGCTATCAAGAAGAATGCACCGACTTCCCTTAAACGCAGGACAAGGTTAAACCAGCCTTCCTGTAACATATTGGGAAAAATCAAACATACGTTAAGAGAGAGAGTGTGAGTGTGAGAATTTATCACGGCATTAAATAAAGTCCAAAACACACATTCATCATGATCCATGTCCATTGACAAGAAGTTAACTGCCTTGACACGATACATAAAAAGATTTTATATTTTGGGTTGATGTCCACTATTTATTGTTTTGAATGGAGTAAGAAACAAATATTAATTTGCCTTAGAAACCAATTGCAATGATGAAAAACGCAACAGACAGTTCTAAGATCCACATACTACAGAAACACAGCATAAGGATTTAGATTAAATTAATTAACCTTGTCCAAGTTGCATGGACCCAGAAACCGGCTTCAGTAGTTTCCCAAAACAAGTAGAGTACAGGATATTGAAGTGCAAATTATTCAAGGACCTTTTAGAAAAGTTATTCCCAAAACGAGCTGTTCCTCAAGCTCACTCTAGATTTGGAGACCCGTCTATGCAAAAGAAGACCTTCACTTACGTGAAGGGCCGAGTTTGTCTCTAAAGTGGTTATTGAAGGTTGAACTTGGACCGGTGTTCTTGGTCTTTATTCACAAGTTCCCTTTATGTTTTCCTTGACCAGTTCTTGTTTATCAATTGATGCCTTCAGCACATTAACATCACCCAACTTGGAATACGCACATTGATTCATTGTGTCTTCTTGGTAATATGCAAAGCACAAAGATTTAAATTAAGCAAAGAACAACTTGGAAATTAGAAAATGGACCACCATGAGCTATGAAAATTCTCTGCTGATCACCATATTTTTACGAATTCCACATCAACAAGGGATGACTGATATAATTTGTTCCAATATTGTGACGCTACAACACCCTATAAGTGGTTTAAAATTCACACAGAATGATTACTTCCTAACAAAAAAATGCCCGATGGGGTTGACCAATCAGCAACCGTACAGATAACAGTGAAAGGTGACCACTTGGGACCAGAACAAGCATGACGAAGTATGGACGTTAAGGGTAACATTCATGATAAGGAATTTCTAAAGACAGTATCAGGATAGAATGCTCACTGGTATAAAGTATTCTGGACGCCAGATTGTTAGATTTAGCATGACCAAGATAATTTATAATGCAGTAATAAAGCCAAAAATGATGGACAACATAAGTAGAGATCAGACGACAAAACAAGAACAAGGAACCAAAGAAACAACTTCAGGACCTTAGTCTCAGTATAGCCGAAGTACACTTCTTGCAATTGTATGAGAGCCATTTTGCCTGTTCTTTGCCGGGGCACCTCTGCGGCTGCTGCTTCTCAGGGGCGTCAAGTAAAAGCGCAGGAGGCCATGATCCACATTGTTCGGCGAATATCTGGCACTCCTATTCCTCTCCAAGATGAAGTCGTCTCTCCTCTTCTTGCCATTTCCATTCATCTCCATCCCCAATCTCCTCACACTTCCAAATGATCCCCCAATATAACTTGAATTCCTCCAGCTCACACTACTGTTACTCCGAAACACCTTTCTATTGATCCCATCTTTCACTTCACCATTACCCTCCCGCCTTAACTCCTGCCAAGACTCTGAATATGACCTTTCCACCCCATTTGCTTTACTATCCCTGTCATCATCCTCATCCTTGTTTCCACCATTTCTCCGGTGTATAAAACCCCATATTTTCCAACTCCATCTCCTTGATTTCTTTGGCCCCTTTCCTTCTCCATTCCCAACCACCGAAGCATTATCTCTCAGACTACGTAATTCAAAAGCCTCGGAGTAGTCATCCCTCAAAGAACTTGAGTTTGCATCCTTGGAATCCCTTTCGGCAACTATAACCTTTGTCCCATTCATATAGTCCAGATTAGCAGGCAATACCGTAGCATTAGAAGCCCCCTTCATCTCATCGATCTCCGCCACCACATCAGCCGCAGTCTTCCTAATAGAACTAGACCTATCCAGGCTCTTCCTCCTCCTGGAAGAAGAATCCGAATAATACTCCCTAGTCTGAGCAGACCCTCCCGGCACAGCCTCATCGTCATTAACGGGGCAATTCATCCCAAGGACATTGGGCTCCTCCACCGGAATCTGAGAATCAGACCTCGAAACGTGAACAGCTGGGGCATCTTCCACGACGGACAGCATGGGTGGCATCCTCGGAAAACTCCTCCCAATCAAGTACCCGTCCCAAGAAGCCCGAGGCTCGTCGAACGAGTACCTGGGATCATCAAAGCTAATCCTCCCGGCGTCAAGAGAGAACCGAGGATCAGTATCACAAGAACGCCGCCCAAACCCATAATCCGCAATCTCGGACTGAGTCTCTCTGTACTGCCTGGAAATGGGCTTCTCCACAGGCAATGTAGCCGATAACTCGCCGTTGCTTCGCTTCTTCATCTTCTGCTTGCGCCTCCAGTTATGCCATTTCTTACTGAAAACTGAGGCAGCTGACCAGAAACTCCCCGCAATTTCTCTCACTCCGCCTCCTCCAGAAGGCTTCTTCGCCTGAGAATCGAGATCTATATGATCTTTCATGGGCTTTATGGTACTAAAATCCACCACCTCTTCGTCTTCTTCTTCCACGATCTCCAAATTGATGTCTCCTCTTTCTTCCACAACAGGAGCTTCCTGAATTGCAGCTACAGGGGTGATTTCATCAGACCCGATGTTGTTGTTATTGTTGTTGTTGTTGTTGTTGTTGTTGCTGCTGCTGCTGCTGCTATCGTAACTGCATTCACTTTCGTCGTTTTGAGGCTCCTCCTCTCCTTCTCCTTCTTCTTTGGACTCAAAAACGGGTTTGTTCACAAAATCATCATGGGTATCTTTGGTGAGGATGGAATGTTGAGGATTTAAAGAAGAGGAAGAGGTAGAGGGTTTGGCGGAGGTGGTGACTTTAGACTCGTTGTCGAGAGTGAAAAGGGACCAAAGCGTGTTGCGGACACGAACATCGCAGGACTTGCGTTGAGGCTCGAAAGCGCCGGAGAAGCTCAAGCCTAGGCCCTCGTGCTTGGAGGCGGAGAAGGACTTGGTGCGGCGGAGCTCCGGGAAAAATGAGGCTGGTTTGGAGGGTTTAGGAGGGGGCTGTGGCGGGGGGTTAGTAGTGGTGGTGGTAAAGGAGGTGGAGGGCTTGGAGGAAGAGGAGGAGAAGAGGGATTTAAGGGCGGCGGCAGCGGAGGAAGAGGAGGTGGAAGGGCGGCGAGAAGAGGAAGAAGGATTGGAAGAGGATTGGTCGAGAGTGGTGAGGCGCTCGCAGAGGCAGGAGGGGCAGAAACCGGTAAATTGTTCCTGAGGGTGGCGGTCACAGCTGAAGGAGGAACGCGGAGGCTGCGGCGGAGGAGGAGGCGGAGGTGCTGGGTCAGCAGCAGTGGGATTCATAACCGGTGGTGGTAGTGCGAAATGCCGCCCAGTCTAGTGCTGCTCATACTACTATTTGTAACTGCTTACATTCACATAAATTCGCTACATCTAACTCTGGAATTTAAGAGAACGTTTTTGGTTAGGATTCTTGGGTCTGTGCGTGTATTTGTGCGTGTGAATGTGATTTTGTGTGTTTTTCCCTTCCTTCTTTTCTTCCTTTTTTTTTTTTCTTTTCTAACGGCCAGTAGAGTAGAGCGAGGGAACGAGGAGTCTAGAGAGGAGACGGAGAGAATTGAAGGGAGAGAGGTCAAAGGCCCAAAAACAAAACAAAACTCCCCCAAGGGAAAGGGAAAGGGAAAGGGAAAGGGAAAGGGAAAGGAGGACGACAGGACAGGACAGGACTCGACACTCGAGACTCTCTAATTAAATTAGGCTTCAACAGAAGAGAAGAGAGAGGACGAAATTAAAGAAGAAGAAGAATCAAAGGGAAAATCTCACTCACTAATTAGTAGGCTGCTTTTCTTTTCCTTTTCTTCACCCTTCTCTCTCTCTAACAAATTCTACTTTTCCCTTAGGATGCTTTTTCTTGGCTACGGACACTCCTCCAGCCGTGAATAGACTTTCTTATCCCTTTTGCTGCATTCAATGTGCATTCCACCACTGTTCCTCTTTCACTCGCATTTCATTTGAGCAGTAGGCACAAGTGTCAATGCCTGCGGCCCGCTCGGGAGGCTTCTTTTCTTGGACACAGGACCGTATTAATTACTTCCCCATTCCACCGCCCACCAAAATAGTACTACGTATCAATCCATTTATTTATCCAAAGACAGAGAGATTTGTAGTGCTAGACTGCTAGTACATTTTGATAGTCCATTTATTTTGTAATAATTATTCCCTCAGTCCTGTTTTTCTTTTTCATTTGTCTCAAATTATAATTTACTTCTCAATTAAAGAATATAATTTTTTAAAAATTTTTAAAATATAAACTACCTTATTTAATATAAATTATTATTGAATATAACCTATCCCATTTAATATAAAACGATGATTGATTCTTTCTTGATCATCAATTCAAATTCCCATAAACCATTAATTCAAGTTTCCATGAATGATTAATATAAAGTTGTACTTTATTTAATGTAAGGGTGTTTTAGAAAAATAACAATCTAAATTTATTTTCTCAACAAAGTTAACTACTTTTTCTTAAATTATGTGAAAAAAAACTATGACCATCAAAATATGACAGAGAGAGTAAATAAGAAGCGACTAATAATACTTCATTAACAAGTATTTAACTATCGAGTTTTGACTCCGTGCCACCTATTGGTCAGGAGGGTTTAAACCCCTTCTATAATGAAAAAATTCAAAACAAGTGTCAGAACATTTTTTTAATCTAGTCGAATCCATAAACCTGTTAGTCCTTTATACGTTCTCTTTAAACTCCTCCTCTTAAAATATGATGAATTAGATTATACAAATGTTATCGTTACAAAAACATATATATAATAATAATTACCGGTATTTAAATGAATGAATTTGCCCATTTGGACCGAAAATTTTGGAATCAATACTTTTTATATAAGTAAGCCAAGCAAAAATTTAGCCTAAATATGATACCCGATTTAATTAAGAGTTAGCTCGATTGAAGCCAACTTGTGAAATTAAGTTATATAATTACATATATCATGTATATATAAATAATAATGTGTTTAATTTAATAATAATAATGTTATAATTTTTTCACAACAAAATATAAATATTAAACACATAGTTATTATATATTGATGGTAAATTTGGACCAAGCTCAAATTAAGCTCAAAGTCCCAATGTATATGTGAGCCGAGCATGACTATTGTAATGTGAGCTCGAAACCTTGTTTGGATTGTAGCTTTTCAAAGAAATTTTTTTTTTACCTTTTTTCGTGAATACATTTTTATATTATATGCATCAAATCAATATAGTCTACTTTTCTGTTAAAATTTCAAAAAATAACAATCCAAATGGGACATAAAAAGCCCTAATACTTTACCTTTTCATTAGTTGAGTTCAAGCTTACTAAAATTTGGCTCATATAACCCAATTGACAACCCAAACATTTGGTCAATCTAAGTTATATTTAACTTAAAACACATTCTTATTGCCATGTAGATATTTCCTCAAACTCACTTGTCAACCAAAATAATGCACACATAAAATCCCTCTTAATGCGCATTTCATGGGCACCAGTCAACCAAACCCATAAAGATAAACCATTCACGTAATGACTTTTAGTTTGTTTGGATACTGTATTATTTGAAATATTATTTGGAATAATTACTGTAACATTTTTTTTGATGTGATATATGTGAAATAAAAAGTAGTTGGGAATATAAAAAGATAGGTTGGGAAATGTGTTTGTGATGCAAGCGAAATATTATTTGAGATAATTTTGATATATAAACACTCCCTTTGTTATTCGTGTGATAATAAAGCATTTATATTTCGTTTTTGTGGAACTAATCTTTTGCCTTAAACTGAAAGTTCTTCAATATTTACTGCTTAAAATGTATTAAGTTCATTATATTGGTATACTTTTTAAAGAATGGTAGTCTTTTCAGCAATTGCTTAATGTAATTCAAAACGGTTGGAAATGGAGAAACGAAGTTGACTTTCACAAACAATACGCAAACTGTAACGCCATAATTTGGTTTAACTGAGCGAGTGTGTTTAGATAATCATGATTTGGCAAAAAAATTATTTGCTCATATCACAAACATAATTTTAAATTTTATTTTTTTCAATCACCATTTTATTTCACATATATTAAATCATAAAAAGTACTACAATAATTATTTCATATAATCTCCTATCCAAACACACTAGTGTTAACTACTCCTGTTTGGATTTTTATTTTAGCAATTTTTTGTAAAAAAATATACTATAATAATTTGATACATGTAAGGTAAAAATATCTTCATAAAAAAAAGTTAAAATTTTTCTGAAAAGACCATGCAAATATCATTCTCTCTAAATCCATAAAAATATACTTCCGTTTGGATTACCTGTTTTTTGGGGTGTTTTTGAAAAATTTTACTGTAGTAGAGTTTTTAGAGTATATTTTGAGATATTTTTAAAAAATATTTTAGAATATTTAAGAGTAATAAAGTTTTTAAAATATTTTTTGAAATATTTTTTAAATATTAAAAAAAATTTAGACTATTTTTAGGATACCTTTTATACTACTTTTTTAAAAATTTTAATGTATTTAAAAAACTCCTAGATCCAAAGTGCGTAGACTGTTACCACCATTGCTGCGTGACAATTGATTTTGCTTTTCTTTTTTCTCTTGGCGGGTACTCAGAGTCTTTTGCCAGTAGTAGTACCACTTTGGCGGAGCGCTCAAATCAAAAGCAAACAACCTCTTTCACTTTAGTTCTGAAATCTGAGGTAGCAAATGTTTTTTTTTTCTTTTTTTTTTTTTGGGTCCATCTTTTGTTTTTTGGGGGGTGCTTTCGATTTTCAAAGATTCCTGTCGAGGGAAAAAGCAAAAGTAAATCACGCCATCACTAAGACTGGGGAGATGGATGTCACTCTCCCTGCTTTCTCTTTCCATTTGTGTTTAGAGATGTCTCCCCTCCTCTGTTGTTTCTGTCACTCTCTCTCCCTCACAAATCACAATAATCTCATTTCGCTTTCTTTGCTTTTTATCTTTTTTATTTTTTTACCTTTTTATTTTTTGGGTTTTTCTGGAGGCGTCTGCTTTCCTTTTTGTTTTTCAGGTTTCTTTTTTCGTCTCTTTTGTTATTTTTCACCCAAATTTTTGAGTTCCATCATTTGTGGGGTTTTCATACGGATTTACCATCATTTTGTGGGTACCGATATTCCACCACCTGCCTCTTTTCAGTTTTCACACAGTAGTGCCTCCCTGCGGGAACACGCTTCCATTCCCACAGCTTGGCTTGGTTCGATTAGGCAAAGACAAATGGGAATTTAGGATTCTTCGGCTCAGCTCGGCTAATGTTTCCATTTTTAGGTTATCCTCCGACCAACCAAAAAAACACCAAAAAAAAAAAGACAAAATATATGTCCTCATGGTGCACCTAGCGTGCGGGGGTGGGGCATGAGCACTGGATCCACAGTCCAACGACTTGACTCCTCACGGTTTTTACTACTAGGAAAATTTTTATCCTAGTGGCATGGTATCTAAAAGAAAAGCGATGGATAAAATTATGCCAATTTGGGGCTTAAAAATTCTAGATAAATATTTTCTAAAGCTTTTGTAAATATATATATATATATATATTACAGCAATCTGATCTGATGTATATAAAATAAGAAAAATAATTAAAAATTGTGATCAATAAAAAATGTAATAATTTTTATTTGAAAAGCTTCAATCCAAACAAGGTCACTTTTTGATGGTAATTGATGAAAAGATTAAAATTTCGAGTTGTCTAACTTCTTGGTAGAACGTCTCTTCTTCGCTTAGAATACCATACATTATTATGATTTCAAACAACGTCAATCCCATCATCACATACCACCATATCATGGCTATGGCCGATTAACGGCTCTCAAACTTAGGGAAGAGAAAGGAAATGCTCCCCCCCTCGCCCTCGATTGCTGTTCCAAGTACAGGTAACTGGGGTGCAAGCTTCCAGCTCTGTCCACGGAAAGCAGGAGATTTGATGAGCTGATCCATCACCGCAAACGGTTAAAACAAACCGCTTTTTTGTACTCGAATGAATTATTGGATGGGCTCAAGTAAAAGTCGGGGTAAAATGCTCTTCCTACCTATCAAGTTGTTGGCGAAAGTTTGGGTGAAAAACAAACAAAGGATGGTTCAAAGTTCAAAAATTATAGTAAAGAGTGAAAAAACAAGGGAAAAGGAATAATGAAGAGAAGTGGGAGGGGTTGGTCCAAACTGTGTCTCCTGGGGAGTCGCTAAGAAAAGGATATGACTATGGTCCCGAGTCCTGCCAATCCCAACATTACATCCCCCTCCTGCATGCATGCCTCAAATCGGCCTCATGACCAAGAAAGTAAAGCGACAATTTAATGGATCAAACACCACAGGTCACGTATTTTACCTCCTTGTACATTTTCTGAGCTATTCCATGCCCTCATATAAGCCCCTGGAGTTTGTCCACCGCTCCAGCCAGTAGTTTGGATTGGAGGTGGCGTCTTCCTCTTTTACTTCCCGTGTGATCCTTTTGGGTTCTTTTCCTTCCTCCATAGTAGAGGTGTTAAAATGGATGATTTGAGCGGATTTGGATTGGATAAAATGGATAATAGATATAAATGAGTCAATCATTTATACTCATTTAATTAGATGGGTATAAATGGGTAAGTCAAAAAATGAATTGGGTAACCCAATTATTC